AAAAATAGGAAAAATAGCCCTCCGTGGACCTAGGTCTCGCGGACCTAGCCCCAGTGGACCTAGGCCTAGCCCCGGTGGACCTAGCCCCAGTGGACCTAGGTCTGGTGGACCTAGCCCCAGTGGCCGCTTCATTCTGACCATGCGTCTGATCGGAATGAGCCACCTGCCTTCCGGTAAATCTGAAATATTCGATCCTATTTGTTTCCAATTTCACGGTTGTTCTTGTTGTCAGCCCTATTTTATTCCTATTTTGTGTTGTCAGCCCTATTTTATTCCTATTTTGGGGCCCTATTTTATTCCTATTTTTCCTAAAAATATTTATTTTTGAACACTCCAGAGATAGCAATAGCTTTTTTTCATAATACTAGCTCTGACACGCGTTCCGAAGCGATACCGTTCCCGCGTTCCGAAGCGAACTATTTTCTGCGTTCCGAAGCGACTCCCTCGCCTACTACTAGGAGCATGGACGCTACTAGGAGCAAAGGCATCGCTACTAGGAGCAAAGGCATCGCTACTAGGAGCAAAGGACGCTACTAGGGGCTCCTGGCCTTACTACTAGGAGCAAGGACGCTACTAGGAGCAAAGGCATCGCTACTAGGAGCAAAGGCATCGCTACTAGGGGCTCCTGGCCTTACTACTAGGAGCATGGACGCTACTAGGAGCAAAGGCATTGCTACTAGGAGCAAAGGCATCGCTGCTAGGGGCTCCTGGCCTTACTACTAGGAGCATGGATGCTACTAGGAGCAAAGGCATCGCTACTAGGAGCAAAGGCATAGGAGCAAAGGCATCGCTACTAGGAGCAAGGACGCTTTGATGGATCTTTTTTTGCGGGACCTCGTTCAGAGTTCAGAGTTCTCTTGACCATGGATGGGTTAGGCCAACTCCGAGAACCTGACAACCTCCAGAATAGACAACTGTTTTCAGGCAGCTAAAACATTGCAGAACGAAGCAGGCAAAGGAAAAAGGAAGGACGTTGGGTATTCCATGTTCGGTATGTTGTTTGCTGTGACATATGGTGTGACAGTTGGCATGACGAACGATATTTGGCATATGGGAGGCAAGGTCCAGCACAGAATTGCATGTTCTGTCTCTCTTTTTCGAAAGCCATGCAGGTGGAAACCCTGTTCTTCTGACCCCTTGAAGTAAACACTACTCAAGCCAAACTCAAGAAAGCTTGCCTTCGCTCAAAACCACTTAAAGACATTTTTATAATTAGTTTATGCACAAGCAAATCCGCAAAAGTGGACCCAGTAAAGAAACATGGGACAGTCAAAACGTGTTGCACGACCGGAGGACCTCAAAACCTCCTAGTGAATGCAGTCTCTCCCTGTCATGCACGTCAATGGGAGTCTTGAGGCTCTTTGTGTTACTAGGACGCTACTAGTAGCATTTCACAGTTATGTATTTGTTTCCTCGCAATCTGCGTGGAGGGGGTGACTTGTTCCTTCAGAAAATCTTTTGAGGAGGCGCATCTGGAGGTAAATATCATGATAAGCATTAACATCAACTGGTCGCTTCATCCTGACACACAAACTGCCAATACACTTGATGCCTAGGTTTTGAGCCCAAGACCTGGAGCAACGGCTACGGCTCAAGATCTTGGGCTCAACACCTAGGCATCAAGTGCATGAAAAATGTCTGTGTTGGAACTCAAAAATGCTGACGACCTCTGGCAGTTGCTAGCGATACACAATATCTTTTGCCAAATGGACTCCAGTACAAGTGCAGGATGCAGGCCCTTATTACATTCAATATTCTCATTTGTTCTCTATCCCCGCTCATTCTGCCTCAATCATTCATCGTCGCTACATTGCACAATACTGCAAAGAGCATTTCCCGCTGCAAATATGTCAAAACTGTGGAGTGCGGGTGGACTCCCACTTGAACAAAGAGTGTTTATCTATATATATATATATGTGTGTTTACAGTATTCAGTATATTTAATTACATTTCCATATCTCCATCGTGCCACACAGTACAAAGCCTAAAGCTGAGTGCTTGACCCGATCCATTCTGCCTGGTCACGCCATGGCCTGAGAATGTGTTCTGAGGCCTCAACCCTCTTTAGCATGAGTTATCATATGACTGTCCATGCTTGGGGGACAAAAGAATGGAAGAGAGACTTTGGCTTCCTATTCCAGCTAAATAAGTCTGCTAGGATGCTTGAAGCTCATCGCTTGAGCTTAAAGCTTGAGGGTGCGGGTTGCAGTGAAGCGACAATGTTGCATGCTCCAAACATGGCAATCCGAATGCCAGAATGCGCTGGGATATTGAGTCTGTGAGCTGCCAAATATGTTCTTTTGCTCAACGCCGGCTCCGGCCACCCAAAGTGAGGCGCACCACCTCAAGGTGTAAAGGGTGCAACAAATCACAAGACCACGGAAGCTTTTTGTATCAAGTCTCACCATGCCGAGCTTCAGGCCTTTTTCGGTGCTGGCTTAGGGCTGCGGCTCCGACTGGTCTGGCAGCATGACAGCTGGAATGACTGCCTCCCTATTACAAGGATGCCAATATACCAGTAAGATTCTAAAAAATGTCCAAGGGTTAAAAAAGAGAGCCCAATTCTAAATGCCGAGAAAACTAGAGGCCTCTCGGGCAGGGAGCTGATCTGGTGATGGCTCCTGCAACAAGCTCGTTGGGGAATGGCAACTGCAACCGAAAGTTACGCAGTGTCGGATCTAGTGAATGTTCCTTGGAACAGCGTCGACCCGCTTGTGATTTGGACGCCCTTCTGTTTCTGGCGAGGTATATTATCCTCTGTTTCTGGCGAGCGCAAGCAGCCAGGAACATCTGCTTCCTGACACGCGCTCGCAAAATGTTTGCACTCTTCATCCGAAGTGACTTCGCTTCTGACGATGCTGGACGATGCTTGGAGTGCTGGACGATGCTGGACATTCATGTGAGACCCTTTTGCTTGCCTTGCGCCTAATCGGATGCCAGCGCGGCATCGGGCGCCTCACACGTTGGGGCAACGTCTGAAATCAAAAAAAGGGTGCTTCCAAGTAGTTGAAAGCCCTTCTTTAAGCACAAGGTAGTGACCTCTGCCGAGGTGATGCTTTAGTGGAGCATCTTGACGCCACTTGAAACACCTTGAAACTAGTACTCTGAAGAGTGTTTTACTGGAGTGGCCTGGAGTGTAGGTATTGAAACATGTTGAAACTAGAAATGGTGAATGCACACCAAGGAAGAACGCTTTTGAATGGATGCTTCAGTGCACGAGCATTACGAGCATCTTCGTTTTTGACGGGCGAGTGAGTCCAAGGCCAGAGAGCAGAATAGTAGAATGGGCATGGGAGAAAGGAGTGCGCACGGTTGGGCAATGTATTGCAAAGACCTGAGAAGGGGGGGAACGAAAGCCAGCAGCCGCCAGACGAGAGGGTCTTTTGCTACATAGCAAACGGTTCGGGAGAAGGTTGCGGGGCAGGTCCATGAGGAGGTTCTGGAGAAGGTTCCGGAGCAGGTTCCAAAGCAGACAAGGCTCCTTGGACAGCGAAGAGACTGTCTCAGTGGCGCTTCTTGCTGTTGGGGACTTTCCTTGGGCTTATGCCACTGATCCGCCCAAAAAATAATCATACGTCGCAGCTACACCCTCTTCCCAGAGACATAGAGACACAGAACCATAGAGACATAGAGACACAGAGTCATAAAAGACAGAGACATCAAACACAGAGAAGTTGCTATCTACAGGGCGTCCTTTCCTGATAGCAACTTGTCGCTGCCAACCAATTACCATACTTGCCCCAAAACACCCAAGGAGACTTCTCTGGCAGGATGACTAGGAGGATGGCAGGAACTATATGTCTCAGCATTGGTGTCACCAACCGTGATCTAAAACTATGGCATAGATCCGTGACTATAACCAATCCTTAAGCAGCAAGTTCTTCACGCCACCAAGTTGCTATCTATGCTATCTACACGGGCCCCTGTTCTGATAGTGACTTGTTGCTGCCAACCAACAACCTACTTGCGCCAATACATACAGCCAGTATCTATCTATCTATCTATCTATCCATCCATCCATCCATCTATCTATCTATCTATCTAGCTGCGCGGCCAAGCCGGAACAACATTCGGTGCACGTGGACGCCGCGAGAAGCATCCGCTGCCCATTGTCCAAATAGCCTCCACAGCTCTTCGTGATGCTAATGATGCACTACTTGGGTCCATTGCATCACTCGCATCACCAAAACCCATTTTGACTGCTTTTCTGACCCTCGCTTTGGAGCGCTCTCCCCAGGCAAGCTCCGGGTTCACCCTCTCAAATGGTACCCCCACACCCCCTTAACTCACTGCGTTCGGTCTAAGACTTTAAGAGCTCAAGCCTAGCCTATCGGCTGGCTTTCGTAATTTTACTGTACTATATACAGAATATGGTGCCTGGACTTCCCCGCACAAATTTGTTTGGCGAATTGAATTGTGGCAAGAGAGCCTGCGTCTGAGTCTAAACGAGATGGTTTCTGGCAACACTGCTTTGCCTCATTGAATCCTGTCCAATCAAAAAAAAGCAAAAATGTTGAGGAAGCGGCCATTCATGTTGCTTGCCATTTTCTACGAGTTTGGCACAACAGGGCAACCACGGACTCTTCTGACTCATCTATATAAATCACATTAAATCACAATATTTTGCAACACCCTGCCTGTAGAGGTCGTTCATCGTCTTTGCGATTTGCATCATGTCCTGGCAAAGTGCAAAATCTGCACTGGTTGCATTGCATTCGCTGTGCTGCCCTCTGCACCATTGGACCATGGAGGCCAAATAATCAAGAGGAAGACGCTAGCACGGCGAACTGCCTCGTATCGTGTGTAGCACGCATTCCACCACGGCGGACGGCTTGGCAGCTGAATCCTGCAGGCTTTTGCTTTCAACAGACCAGCTGAGTCTGAAAGTTGGGCACTGCACTAAAAAGGTCGCACCCCAATCTGTCAGCTGCCAGAAAGATGCTGGCCTCAGTAGATCTCAACAAAGCCAGAAGCCTCTTGTTCAACCAACATTCGCCGAGCTTGTCGCTGTGTTGTTTGGTTCTTTGGCACACTTGCCAGAACTTGTAGCTTTTGCAAACACATGCATTGTATAGACGTCCTTTCAGTGCTCCAAGATGGTCCAAGTGTTTGAGGCATTGGCTGCGGCAATCTCGTGTGCCTGGTATTGGCAGCAAAGCGTTGACCGAGTGGAGTCGTTGAGGAAATTCCTGGGATTTCACACAAACTGGCGGCGGTGCTTCAGCATCACTCAGCCTCGGGCCCTGACCAAGCAGTTTGGACTAAGTCCATTAAGCTAGGCCAAGCAGAGCTCATCATGGCCCGCACAAACTGAAGCATGTACCTGTGTACCGAAACTACCTGTAGCGTACAGTAGGTAGTACGCACTCCATTGTTGCGGATGTAGTTGTGTGTCTGTGACCCCAAGGCTCTACCTCGCCTCTCCCCATGATATTAACAAAGCTAGAAAATGCAAGGGGCTCACCCAATCAATGCACTGCATTATCCCCTGCACCTGTGTGGTGTTTCTCGCAGAAGTGAAGCCCCAAAGCCAAGCTCCGAAAGGATTTGCTTCTCCACTGCCATGATGGCCTCTATCCAGGAATCTGCGAGTCATGAAACCACTACGGTTTAAAAGCAAACAGTCAGAAGAAACGGTTGAACAAACTGCCAAAACAAATGCAATCCCAATCATCTTCGTCGACTGGCTATGTATTCTTACCCGCCTGCTTCATCTCCAAGGCGTCACGGCCACGCAGGTCAAGGTTTGGCACTGGCCTTTTGCAATAGACCTGATCTAGAAGGGTTGATCGAAAAATTCGATCCAAGGCGAATCTTCCGACAAAATGGTCATGACAAACTGTGTCTCATTTCCAACATCCCGGGAATCCAGCTGCCTCTCCATCCCCTTCCAAGGATCGCAGGTGCAATCGGTAGAAGACAGGGATGATGTGTTTTAGCCTGGCCAAGACGACCAACACCCTCAGCAAAGGCATGGAACCAAGCTGTGGAGATGCGAAAGTACCCAAAAGAGCTGTCAGACCTCCTTTCTGAGTCCTGCAATTTGCATGCCAATAGCAAAGAGGCCTCAAGAATGGAAGAAAGTCACAAATTATCTGCACTGACTCTGAACTGTGACTTTTGAGCAGCTGAAATCCAGCCCAACACTGAGCACGCAGGCAGCTGCTGTGACTCGCACATCAAACTCTGCAAGAGACCTATGGAGCTCGTGGTCACGTGACAGTCACGCCGCGTTTCAGCTGCTCCCAGGTTCGGGTCGGAATTGCAGCTGGAGAGCTTGCGAAAAAAGAATCGCTGGAAGATCGCAGCTGCTGTCACCTTAGTCGATCTATGCCCATGCTCACGCGCAGAAAGCGAACGCATCTGAACGCATGTTATTCGCGGACCCGCTTGAAAAGGCGCACAAATCGCATTTTTTAACCGGTAGCGATGGCCTCCAACCTATATAGCTTCTTGTTACTAGTAGCGACGGCCTCCAACCTAGTATAGCT